ATATATAAAATTAGCTGGGCGTGGTGGTAGGCACCTGTAATCCCAGCTACTTGGTAGGCTGAGGCAGGAGAATCACTTGAACCCAGGAGACAGAGGTTGCAGTGAACCGAGATCACACCATTACACTCTAGCCTGGGCAACAGGAGCAAAACTCCGTCTCAAAAAAGAAAAAAAAATCTCAGGTGCGGTGGCTCACGCCTATAATCCCATTTTGGTTTATGGGATTTTGGGAGGCTGAGGTGGGCAGTTCATGTGGTCAGAAGATCAAGACCATCCTGGCCAACATGGTGAAACCCCATCTCTACTAAAATACAAAAAAAAAAAATTACTCTCTAGGGTCAACTGTGTGATGCTACAGTTTGGAAAAGCCATTTTATTTCTTATGCTTTAGCTACATTTTTTTAAGCTGATTATATAATACCCATTAAAATGTTTTGATCTTTTTTATGAAAAATTAAACACCCTGACCCTTATTAAAGATTATTGGTCAGGTGCAGTGGCTCACGCCTGTAATCCCAACACTTTGGGAGGCCAAGGCAGGAGGATCACTTGAGGCCAGGTGTTTGAGACCAGCCTAGGAAACATGACGAAACCCCATCTCTAATAAAAATACATAAGTTAGCTGGGTGTGGCGGCTTGTACCTGTAATTCTAGCCACTCAGGAGGCTGAGGTACGAGAATCACTTGAACCTGGGAAGTGCAGACTGCAGTAAGCTGAGATCGCACTACTGCACTCCAGCCTGGGCAACAGAGCAAGACCCTGTCTCAAAAAAAAAAAAAATTAAATTAAATTAGACAGTTCATCTCTTGAAAGCAAAAAATGGAATATGGTGGTTCACTTTTTCAAGCAGTAGGAATTAGAACATTATTAACAGCAGCCAGATGATCATGCAACTACCAACTACTGCATCACTTTATTGGAAACGTGTAAAAGGATGCAAATCTAGTGAACAGAATGGAATGGAGCAAAAGAAAATTGTTTTAATACTGTCTGGGTTTTGCTCTGTTGCCCAGGCCTGGAGTGCAGTGACGTGATCATAGCTCACTGCAGTCTCAAACTCCTATGCTCAAGCAGTCATCCCCACTCAGCCTCCTGAATAGCTCAAACTCCAGGCATGCCTCACCATGCCCAGCTATTTTTTGTAGAGATGGGTTTTTACTGTGTTACCCAGGCTGGTTTTGAAATCCTGACCTCAAGTGATCCTCCTGCCTTGGCCTCTGCTAGGATTACAGGTGTGAGTCCCCATGCCCAGCATGTTTATGCCTTTTTCTAAATTGTTACTTCTTCGTGCCTTTATCCTGTAAACACTTCTCACATAGCACCAGTATCACTTGATTGTACTTCACTTTTTTTATGTAGCTGTGGTTTTGCCAGGTAGTCTAAAACCCTTCCAAATGTTTGCTTTATTTTCTGCAATACCTAATACATTGTGCATGTTTAATAAATATTCATTGACAAGGAAAAAAGTTTATCTGTTAAAAAATAAAGATTGTCATAATTTTATGGACAATGAATCCCTTTAAGTCTTTTTATCTTTTTTTAAGTAAATTAAAGTGCAGCCTGATATAAAGCAGTACTTCTCAAACTTTAATAGGCATACATCTGGTTGAAATGCAGATTGTTGGGAGGATGGGGTTGATATTCTATGGTTCTAATAAGCTCCCGGTGATGCTGATGCCACTGGTCCGTGGAGCACACTGAGGGGTTAAAGTGGATTCACATCCAGTTGCTTCTATGAACCAGGTGTGAGAATTTAGACAAATCCCGTCATCTCTTTGATCCTCTGTTTCATTATCTGTGACATGGTAACAATATATATTCCCCACACAGAGATTCTCTTGTAATGTATATGAAAAATGCAAATGTACAGTAATGCAAATTCATTCCCCTTCTTTTTTTTTTTTAAAGATGAGGTTTTTCCATGATGGCCAGGCTGGTCTTGAACTCCTGACCTCAGGTGATCCACCCCGACGTCGGCCTCCCAAAGTGCTGGGATTACAGGCGTGAGCCACCGCACCTGGCATTCATTACCCTTTCATGAGACCGATTCATTTTTCTAAATCCTGAAGGTTCTAGTATATCATCTAATTCTCCTAAATAGTATGATGGAAGAAAAATGACTTGGAGTTAGAGGCCGGGCATGGTGGCTCACTCCTGCAATCCCAGCATTTTGAGAGGCTGAGGCAGGTGGATCACCTGAGATCAGGAATTTGAGAACAGCCTGGCCAACATGGTGAAACCCCATCTCTACTAAAAAATACACAGGCCGAGTGCAGTGGCTCACCCCTGTAATCCCAGCACTTTGGGAGGCCAAGGCAGGTGGATCACAAGGTCAAGAGATCGATACCATTGGTGAAATCCTGTCTCTACTAAAAATACAAAATTAGTTGGGCATGGTGGCACGCACCTGTAGTCCCAGCTACTTGGGTGGCTGAGGCAGGAGAATGGCTTCAACCCGGGAGCCAGAGGTTGCAGTGAGCCAAGATCGCACCACTGCACTCCAGCCTGGCAACAAAGCAAGACTCTGTCTCAAAAAGAAAAAAAAAAAAAAATACACAAATTATAATCCCAGCTACTCAGGAAGCTGGGGCACAGGAATCACTTGAACTCAGGAGGAGGTTGTAGTGAGTGCAGATCACACCACTGCACTCCAGCCTAGGTGACAGAGTGATACTCTGTCCTAAAATATATATATATATATTTTTATATATGTATGTATATATATTTATGTATATATATTATATATATGTATATATATGTTTTATATATACATATATATATATGACTTGGAATCAGACAGGCTTTGGTTGGAGTCATAGATCCAGTTTTTGGGCAAGATACTTTACATCTCTGAGCCCCGTTTTCTTATATATAAATTAATAATGACAATAACTTCCTTAAATGGTGTTAGTGAGGCTACAAAATATCATACATGTAAAGTGCCTGTCTAGTGTGTAGTAGTCTCTCAATAATGTGGTAACTTAATCAAAATCTCTGTGGATAAAGCCCAGAAATCTGTATTTGTAACAAATACCCCAGGTGATTCTTTTGTTCTGTATATGTTGAGGTTTGAGAGCCACTGCCCTAATTGCACAAGTGAGGAAGGTGCTTTATAAACATCCTCCTTCATGTTTAAGTGTTGATGATAATGAGGTGAGAAGCATGAAACATGGAGTATCACATAAGAAATTATTTTTGAAACAAAAGGATAATGCAGTGGTCCTGACTGATTATCATGGTTAGATCCCATGTTGCCCATTTCCTTTAAATGAAAACTAACCCTATGATATTACATAATATTGTTAATATTATTGTCTTATTATTAGTCACTGCCTTGTCTGTTGCAGCAGAGTATTGCCTATACAGCCACAATTAGGAGGCAAGTTAGTTGGCAAGGGAACTACTTGAAGCCAAGAAGCTTGGCTAATCTTGCTTTCCTTTTTGTTGGGATTCATTTGAAAGGTCAGATTATAATATATTCTGAGCATTACATTGTTGGCCACATAGTTACAGATTTTATGGCCAGTTGGCTTCATTCTGTCTGACAGCATCAGTGCATCCCTAACCATTTCTTGCCAATGCATACTAGTAGTTGTAAAAGGAAGTCAGACCTATTGCCAGTTCTTTAAGTAATGGTCACAGACACCTCAGAGCCCCTACCAGTAGAGTATAGCATCATCATTATATAACCAGGAGCAATACAGTCATCATTTTCTCATAGAATCCACTCAACCTGTGTGTGAAGATCGTGCAAGGAATTCGGGCCATGGAAGTTGATTCTAGCCAGTACTCTTTGGAATTGATCCAGATGGTTCATTCATGTCTTGACCAGGTAGGTGATTTAAATATTCACTTCAACCTCAGTGTTTGATGTATGGCATAGCAATAAACCATACAAAACCACATCTACTTCCCCAAGGTAGAGTATATTTGTGGGTGTACCCATTATAGGCATTGGTAATTGATTATAGTTATGTGCTTCAGTGAAAAAATTCTTACATTATTCTGCTTTGTAAGTACTAGTTTGGGAAATGAATTTCCCATCTAAATTGTGCTCCATTTTTATGACCAAGATTAATTTCTGAATATAGATTTCATAAAACTGCAATGAAAGATAATTTATCATTTCTAATATGGAATGTATATGCTTCTTATATCTTGTAGTTCTCTTCCTGTGTAGTTCTAGTATTATTCAAAGTATGTTTCATGAAACACTGGAGTCAGAATCACCAGGGAGTAGGGGAACTTTGTAAGTAAAAAGAAGATTCCTGGGCCCCACCCCAGACGAACTCAATCAAAATCTCTGTGGAAGCCCAGAAATCTTTATTTGTAACAAACACCCCAGGTGATTCTTCTGTATATGTTGAGGTTTGAGAGCCCTAATTGAATTACCCTAATTGAACAAGTGAGGAAGGTGCATTATAAACATTCTCCTTCATGTACAAGTGTTGATGATAATGAGGTAAGAAGCACATAAGAAATGATTTTTGAAACAAAAGATAATGCAGTAGGCTTTGACTAATTATCATCTTCAGATCCCATATCGCCCATTTCCTTTAAGTGAAAACTAACCCTATTTTTACTTTTTAGGATCCTGAGCAGAGACCTACTGCAGATGAACTTCTAGATCGCCCCCTCCTCAGGAAACGCAGGAGGTAAAGTATGAAGAAGTTACTCCATTTTCTTTTCTGAGATGGTTGACTTTTAGAGGCTTGATCGGAGTACTACAGGGAAGAGTAGCGTTTCCTGATTTGGTTGCAATAGTGCTATTTTCTACCAGCATCTCTGCTTTTATTGCTTGGGGTAGCTTCTGACTTTCACCTCCTTAGCTTGTTCTATTTTGTTCTAAATTTTTACTGATGAGGCCCAAGAGTCCTTCAGTCCCTCATCCATTGGTTTTAAACCTAGAATTGAGGCATTAGAGTACAGTAAGAAAGAGGGGTGTCTGGATGTTTGCTTCTGAATTTTGTCATTATCTTTGTCAAGTTATCTAACATCCTTATTCCTTAACTTTCTCCTCTATAAAGCAAGATAAAGTAAGAATTAAAGAAGGTAATACATACAAAGTGGTCAGCCTAGGGCCTGGCATAGGGTGCTTATCCATTTTTGGATAGTAGTGTGAATTGGACTGGGCCTTTGTTTTTTTTGTTTTGTTTTTTGTTTGTTTGCTGAAACAGAGTCTCACGTAGGCTAGAGTGCAGTGGCACAGTCCTAGCTCACTGCAGCCTTGAACTCCTGCTGCAAGTGATTCTGCTACTTCAGCCTCCCAAGTAGCTAGGACTACAGGTGTGCACCGTCATGCCTGGCTAATTTTTCTATTTTTGTAGAGACAGGGTCTCGTTATGTTGCTCAGGCTGGTCTCAAAGCTGTTGCCTGGCCTCAAGCAATCCCCCCGCTTCAGCCTCCCAAAGCGTTAGGATTACAGGCGTGAGCCACTGCACCTGGTCGGTGCTTTGTTTTTATATCTTCCAAATATTCAAATACATACAATGCTCTTTTCAAGTCTTGCCCTTAGATACATTCTGTACATCCCTAATTCCATATTTGCTGTTTGATCAATACTTTTATTCTACTAGGTCATTTAATTAATCTTACCTGGTTCTTCTCCAGTTGGTCTCTAGCCAGTGTTTTAGTGCCTGCAATTATGTACAGTACTCCAGATATAGCATGGTGACCTTCCATTTATGTTCTGTGCATGTGTAGGCAGTATCACCCTTTCAGCCTGGTTAAGCATATTTAAAATTTTTACCTGGCTTATTTCCCAGCAATATAATGACTGACTTTGTTTTATTTTATTTATTTATTTTTTGAGACACAGTCTTACTCTGTTGCCCAGGCTGGAGTACAGTGGCATGATCCTGGCTCACTACAACCTCTGCCTCCCAGGTTCAAGCAATTCTCCTGGCCTCAGCCTCTCGAGGAGCTAGGACTATAGGCAGGCACCACCATGCCTAGCTAGTTTTTGTATTTTTTGTAGAGACGGGGTTTTACTATCTTGGCCAGGCTGGTCTTGAACTCCTGACCTCACGTGATCCGCCTGCCTCGGCCTCCCAAAGTACTGGGATTACAGGCATGAGCCACTGTGCCCGGCATAATCACTATTTTAATTAACTCTTATTTCTTGAGTATAATATGGCATGAAATTTTTACTGAGCTAATTATAGATTTGCCTCCAATACTTTGTTGGAACTTTGTCCTTTGATGGAAAACATAAGACTGAGTTTTCCAGACAAAGAATATAGCATAAGCAGAATCACAGATAGACATGGGAAGTTGTGGAAAATATTCAGGAAACACAAAATTCTGTTTGCCTAGATTAGTGGTTCTGGACAGGGACTTTTGATGCAAAGTATCAGGAGCTTTCAAAAAGTACTGATGCCTGAGTGCTACTCCAATAGCCCAGCTATAATTGATTTAGGTAGAATGAGAGCCCTGGGCTAGAACATGGAGTGTAAACAAAAGGAAGGAAGGCTGAAAAATAAGGAATCTTGCATGCCAGGCCAAGGAAATTGTGGTTAATTCAAGAGATAGTGCAGAAGATAGAGTGAATATTACACTCACTATCAAGAGATAGTAGATGTTTGCAAGAGGGCAGCATGTGATGAGAGGCATACCTAAGGAAGACTTATTTAGCAATATTAGTATCTGTGTTAAATCAGTATAGTAAAATGGATTAAGACTATAGTGAGGCTGATTAGGAGGTATTACCACAGTACAGGTGGGAAGTAGAACTGCCCAGAACTAAGGTGGTGAGACTAGAAAGGAAGAAGTGAGTATGAAAAGTACTATATAGGTAGGATCTGTAAAACTTGAATATTAAAGAAAGGGAGAGAGATGAATTAGAGATGACTGAGGTTTTAAGCCCAATTGACTGGGAGAATTGGGGAAGGGTGTTGCTGCTAGTTATAGAAATGGAGGAGTCAGAAAAGCTCATTTGGGAAAAAGCTAACAAGCTCATATTTGGAGATACTGAGTTTGGGAGTAAGTGGGCAGACTAGATGAAGGTGTCCATCAGATATTAAACATGTACGTCAGAGGTTCTTAAGGCTCTCTGTTCCAGCCTGGACCATTTCTCAGAGATAGAAAGCAAATGGCCCCAAACTGCTAGCCCTTGGGTATTTAATGAATTGTCTAATGAAAGGACTATATAACTGAGTTGTATTGAAGTACTTTGCTAAAAGTATTGTGATGTTGTAGGATACATACAGTTTATAAGAGGATTAAATCTGTGAAATGTATTAGACACCTTTGCAATATAAAAACCTATATTTCACTCATGTATCTTTGCTTTTCTTTGGTAGAGAGATGGAGGAAAAAGTCACTCTGCTTAATGCACCTACAAAGAGACCAAGGTAATGATCAAGAGACTCTTAGAAACTAATATATCCTAAATTACCACCAGTATATGGTATTTCTTGAGTGTAGGCATTATTTGATCCCAGGATCCTTTGGCATCCTTTCAGGAGACAGCATCTGCTTAAATGTCAGATAGTCATTTCTAAGAAGAAAGCTATAATTTCACCCTCACACTAAAGTGGCCATCATTACCATAATGAATGTTGAAAAGTGTAGATGTTATGGGTCAGACTGGAATCTGATCTGGCCAAGCTGTGATGAAGCCCTGAGGCAGGAATTGCAAAGTCTGCTGTGATAGAGGACATTGAAATAAGTTGTCGAGAAAGAACATACTTTCTCATACCATAATTGGCACTTCTCAGGGAATAGACTGGAAGCACTTTTCTTTGATATTGTTTTTAATGTTAAATGTGCCTTTATTCTGGGGGTTGTTGGCAGGTCAAGCACTGTGACTGAAGCACCCATTGCTGTCGTAACATCACGAACCAGTGAAGTCTATGTTTGGGGTGGTGGAAAATCCACCCCCCAGAAACTGGATGTTATAAAGAGTGGCTGTAGCGCCCGGCAGGTGTGCGCAGGGAATACCCACTTTGCTGTGGTCACAGTGGAGAAGGAACTGTACACTTGGGTGGTAAGTGAAAGCTAAGCATTTTGGAATGGTGCTATAAGCCTAATTGTTTACTGGGCCCAGGATGTCTAAGCATTTTATTAGTTGAATCCCATACTAAGGGAGTGGCAACACAGGTTAATGGAATGGAAGCTCTTATGAGAGCAGAGATTTTGTCTGTTTAGTTCGCTGATGTATGGCCAGGGCCTGGTACATATTAGGTCACTTATAAATGTTTTTTGAATGAATGAATCAGAGAGGGAGAGAAAATTGAAAGACTCAGGAGACTGGGCTTTCCATTAGCTGGATGATTTCAGACAAGTCACTCAATTACTCTGTTATATTATGGTGAGGTTCAGAGTAACTGTTATCTGTGAAATAGCTCTGTAAACAAAGGAACCACTATACCATGTCAGGAAACCCCTGAAACCCACAGCAGTGATTGAAGATAGCTAGGTATATTTTGTGTAGAATTTCTTTGTTGCCCTGTAGATTCTCCCCCTCACCTTCTTTAACAAATTGTCTGTGTTTACTATCTGTTTCCTTATCTCCCACTCTCTCCTCTTTCACCTACAATGCAGCTTCCATCTCTGCCACTCAATTGAAACCGGTCTTGACAAAATGACCCATAAATTGCTCAAATAAAACAGAAGCTTTTTAGTCCTTACCTAGCTTGACCTCTTGGCAGCATTTGGCATAGTTGACCACTCCCTCCTTCTTGAAGCTTTGTCTTCACTTGCCTTCTGTGATAGCGTGTTCTCTTGGCTTTCCTCCTGTCTCTTGCTGTGCCTTCTCAGGCTCATTTCAGGCTGCTAGAGAGCAATTAGTATCTTAAACATTTATTGGCCAGGTGCAGTGGCTCACACCTGAAGTCTCAGCATTTCAGGAGGCCGGAGTGGATTGTTTGAGTCCAGGACTTTGAGACCAGCCTGGCAAGCATGGCAAAACCCCATCTCTACTAAAAATACAAAAGTTAGCTGAGAGTAATGGCATATGCTTGTGATCCCAGCTACTCGGGAGGCTGAGGCATGAGAACCACTTGAGCCTGGGAGGTGGAGGTTACAGTGAACCACTGCACTCCAGCCTGGGCAACAGAGTGAGACCCTGTCTCAAAAAAATAAAATAAAATAAAATAAAATTATATATATATATATGTATATGGACTTGTAGTTTAGTCATTTAATAGAAATAATTATTTCTCTCTATAAAACTGTTGCAAATCATCAAGGACTAATCACATTGCTATATAGCAGCCTCTTTGATGTAGCCAGATTCTTTATAACTGTTCCATGCTTCAGGGAAACTGAGTAAAATTTATAAAACTTGATTTCCAAGAAGCTATACTCCTATAGAAAGCAACCAAATTAGACTATATTATAAAGAATTTTTTGCACCATCACCTGTAATTAAATATATAGTTTACCTTAGACTTGAAGAATAAAGATTAGATTAATGCATATTAATCTGGATACTTTTTAAGTTTCTTTACCTGTTGGCAGGGTCTTTATACTACCTACTACTAAAATGTTAATCCCTTTGCCCACTTTTTTCTAATTTCTAAATTTCTAGCTCTTTTTTTCTACTGTTTTTCTTCTTATGAAGTTATATTGAAGATCAGCTTTTGGCATGAAAAATTAAAAACTTCATAAGACCTCTTGGCCAGGCATGGTGGCTCATGCCTATAATCCCAGCACTTTGGGAGGCTGACGCAGGATCGCTGAGCCCAGGAGTTCAAGACCAGTGTGGGCACCATAGCAAGACCCCATGTCTTTTTAAAATTTAAGTTTAATAAAATGTAATTAAAAAAAAAAAACTTCATAAAACCTGTTTATTTCACAGAATATGCAAGGAGGTACTAAACTCCATGGTCAGCTGGGCCATGGAGACAAAGCTTCCTATCGACAGCCAAAGCATGTGGAAAAGTTGCAAGGCAAAGCTATCCATCAGGTGTCATGTGGTGATGATTTCACTGTCTGTGTGACTGGTAAGCCATCAGCAGAAAGTGTCTTAAGTGCATTTAATGTGGGATATTTGCTTAAACCTGTGCTATTTTAGCTGGGATTTTACAACAAAAGACAGTATTCAAAGAACCAGAGGACATTGGGCAAATATACTCATTAATAATAATATGCCAAATTCGCTATAGTATTAGGGAGTGGTGAGCAAAGAAAAGACAGGTGGGTAACAGAGAAGAGGTAGGATCAGGAGAAAATGTGTGTCCCACTTGGCAGGAAGAATAATCTTACCACCTCATCAGGCTATGGATAACACAAAATTAGGATCAAGGCCTAACTTTAGTTTTGGTCTTGTCATTACTTACTTTATGATTCCTTGGTTCTTATATTTTTAATCTACATAATAAAGATGGCCCTGTTAAATCCTTTTAACATGATAATGCTACCACTTTTTAAATTGTTTAGTAGTAGTAGTACACACGACTCTCTAAAATGGAAACAACTCTAGACCTGCACAGTCTATCCTTTTAATTTCTCAGATGTAATCATTTCATGTGAGATGGGGAAGTCCATCCCCATTTGCTGGGGAAGTCCTCATTCCAGCCTTGCCCAACTTTCTGATTACATATAATAAGTCAACCTTTTAATGAGTTCTGTTTTTCTTTCTTTTGCAGATGAGGGTCAGCTCTATGCCTTCGGATCAGATTATTATGGCTGCATGGGGGTGGACAAAGTTGCTGGCCCTGAAGTGCTAGAACCCATGCAGCTGAACTTCTTCCTCAGCAATCCAGTGGAGCAGGTCTCCTGTGGAGATAATCATGTGGTGGTTCTGACACGAAACAAGGAAGTCTATTCTTGGGGCTGTGGCGAATATGGTAGGGGTAGCCTTGTCTCTGTCCACTTCCTTGCCAGTATACAACCTGACTTCAAACTTGTATGCATTTAAATACATCATGCATCCCCTAAATGGGAAGTGTAATTCAGTAAAAGAGAGTCTCACAGAAACTCTTCCCTAGGAAGGAAGCCCTCATTATAATGATTTTCGTTCTTATGTGTGTTTCAGGACGACTGGGTTTGGATTCAGAAGAAGATTATTATACACCACAAAAGGTAAAATCAGAAGCAGCTTCTTTCTAAAACCTAGCTAAGTCACACAGACTCCAATAACATGTGCCCTTTCCTTGGCTCTGTTGTATCAAGGTGTTTATTTCTGAAATGTTTCCTGTGTGGGAGACTGACAATCTAGGATTTCTGATTTAGCATCCTGTGGTCTTGTCATATGACTAAATCATAGAAAACTGAGAAAGTGGATACAGCAACTGTGGACATGTGAAGTCACATCATACTCAGGGATGACAGCTAAAATCAACATGTACAGCAGAAAAGTCATATATAGCTGCAAATACACTGGAAAACTTGAGAAGCTACTGTAAAGCAGTATAACCCAACTCAGCCATTTTCCTCTCATGCTTCTACAACTGACCACCAGATAAAGTATTAATAGTTGTTTTTGTTTAGTAGTCATGTTGTATGAAACATACGATCTAATTACTCTCAGCCTTGCCAGAGCTGGCCCTGTGATAGGCTCACAGAGGCTGACACCAGCTGGGGGAAAGGAAAAGCACAGTCACATCTCTCTCACCTTCCATAGGGCACAGGCTTACCCATTGGAGAGTTGGCTAAATCAGCTATACCATTTACGGTTACCAGTGTTTTCGTTTTTTTTTTCTTTTTTCTTTCTTTGGGAACTTTTAGACAAACCAGTTTTTATTTACATTTTAAAAATTAAATTATTAAATTATGCATTTGTGGGCACCATCCTCAATGGAATTCCCAGTTGTTCCTTTTCTCCTGGAAAGGCTGTGGCAGAAACTGTGAAGGTTGAGGTTTCAGGTTTTACACACATCCGTTGTGGCCCCACACATGCATCACCCCACCATTCTCCAGCCTTGTCTAGTTAGCTGTAAAAGGATATAAGCATTTGGAAGTTCTAGATATTACCTCAGTACTCTGTCACCTCTCCTATAAAATGACCAGATTGGGACCCCACAGGGCTATTGAGTTTCTGTAACTGTCAAGCAACCTTCCATCTTAAAAGACAAAGTCAGCAATGAATTGAAGCTTCTTTCTCAACTTTTTGACAAGTCATCCAAAGTAGGACCTCTTGCTAAGATAAACTGAGAAGGGGCTATCTTGTTTAGTTGACCTGGAACTGTCACCTTTTCCTTGATATTGTAAAACTTGAACTCTTTGTTGAAAATAGTAGCCTTGGCTGGTCACAATGGCTCACACCTGTAATCCCAGCACTTTGAGAGGCCGAGGTGGGCAGATCACTTAAGTTCAGAAGTTCAAGACCAGCCTGGCCAGTATGGTGAAACCTCATCTCTAACTAGAAACACAAAAATTAGCCGGGTGTGGTGGCACACGCCTGTAGTCCCAGCTGCTAGAAGAGGCTGAGGCAGAAGAATAGCTTGAACCTGGGAGGTAGAGGTTGCAGTGTGCCGAGATCACACCACTGCACTCCAGCCTGGGTGACACAGCAAGACTCCATCTCAAAAAAAAAAAGAAAGAAAATAGTAGTCTTGGCCGGGCATGGTGGCTCACGCCTATAATCTTAGCACTTTGGGAGGCCAAGGTGGGTGGATCACCTGAGGTCAGGAGTTCAAGACCAGCCTGGCCAACATGGCAAAACCCTGTCTCTACTAAAAATACAAAAATTAGCCAGGCGTGGTGGCATGCACCTGTAATCCCAGCTACTCAGGAGGCTGAGACAGGAGGATTGCTTCAATTTGGGAGGTGGAGGTTGCAGTGAGGTGAGATCATGCCACTTCCGCCTGGGTGAAAGAGGGAAACTGTCGCAAAAAAAAAAAAATAAGACTGTGAGCCACAACCTTTCCAACAGAGTGGTTGGGTGATCGCCATCTTAGGGAAAAGAAAGATGTTCTCGTTCTCGTCCATGGCGCACCTGGCATGGGTGAACCCCTTCAACGTGCCTCATCTGCAGCTGGTGTATGATGGCCTCTGCAGCAGCCCTCCCAGACCCACAGGCCAGCCCTGCCGCCCTTGCAACCTGGCAGCCACTGCCATGGAAGAGTACAGTTGTGAATTTGGCTTTATGAAGAATTATCCACTGTGTGGCTTTGGTAGGGTCTTAAGATGCTATCTGATACACACTGCTGTCGTTCCCCTGGATTTAGTGAAATGCTGTATGCAGGTGGACCCCCAAAAGTACAAGGGCATATTTAACAGATTCTGTTTTTTTTTTTTTTTTTTTTTTTT